CTGTGGCCCAGTGACGCCGGTGGGCATACACGGAGAGAAATATTTCGTCTCGTTCATAGACGACTGGAGCCGGTTCACTGTTGTGTTTTTGATACGTTCGAAGGACCAAGTCGCCGAAAAGTTCCCGGAATACGAGGCGATCGCGAGTGCTAAGTTTGGCAGGGGCATCTCTCGGTTCCGTTGCGATAACGGAGGGGAGTATAAGAGCCGGGCGTTCACTGATTTTTGTAAGGAGAAGGGAATTGTGATTGAGTGGACGGTACCCTACACGCCCGAACAGAACGGCACGAGTGAACGTATGAACAGAACGTTGGTTGAGAAAACGCGTTCGATGCTCGAGGACAGTGGTGTTGATAAAAGGCTGTGGGGTACGGCAATCCAAACCGCGGCGTTTCTGGCTAACCGTAGCCCTGCCAATGCTATTGACTCGAAAAAGACTCCGTTTGAGATTTGGAATGGGGAAAATCCAAATGTGAAGAGACTTCGTGTGTTCGGTGCGGATGTGTACGTTCACATTCCGAAAGAGTTCCGGAAGAAACTCGACGCGAAATCGTGGCGCGGTACGTTCGTCGGGTATACTGCCAACGGTTACCGGATTTGGGATTCTGTGCGGAAGGAAATCGTTTCGGCTCGTGACGTGATATTCGTAGAAGAAAGAAATCATGGCGTTCAGCAAGTGAATGAAGATCCTGGAAGCGATCAGTTCGGGATTCTACCCGGGCAAACCGAAGATGCAGACGACGAAAGTGTACGAAGTGACCAGGAGGAAGATCCTGATTCCGAGGACGAGGACGATGCTAATTCCGAGGATGACGAAGAGGTATTCGGTAGCGCAGGCGAGGAGTCCGATCCGGAAGTCGAGCAGTCCGATCCGGAAGCTGTGAACGAAAATTTGGCCGATGAGGAGCGAAGACCGCGGAGGAAGCGAAATGCTCCAGGGTGGCATGAAGACTCCAAGTTCAACTTCACTGGTTTCGCTTTGAATGCCGCCAGTTTCGTCGATAATCTACCTTGCTCGTTGGCTGAGATGAAGATGCGAGAGGATTGGCCGCAGTGGGAGCAAGCTGTTCGTGAAGAAATGGACTCCCTTATCAAGAATAACACCTGGACATTGATGAAGCTGCCGAAGGGGAGAAAGCCGATTTCCTGTAAGTGGGTGTTTAAGGTTAAGAGATCTGACAATGGTCAGCCGGACCGTTGTAAGGCTCGACTAGTGGCGCGTGGCTTTTCGCAAAGGCACGGATTCGACTATTCGGAGACGTATTCTCCGGTAGCCAAACTAGATACGATCCGAGCGTTTTTGGCGGTAGCGAACCAGGAGAGATGGCACGTCCACCAAATGGATGTGCGGACCGCGTTCTTAAACGGAAAGATCACCGAGGAAATCTATATGACCCCACCAGAGGGATACAAGCAGAGGGATGGCTTGGTATGTCGCCTCAACCGTGCCCTGTATGGGTTAAAGCAGTCATCGAGAGCTTGGAATCAGCGGTTCGATCGGTTCATGTAGGAGTTGGGATTCCGGAGGAGTGCTAACGATCCGTGCTTGTATGTGAAGGGAACAGGTAGTTCGATGATAGTTCTCATTCTGTACGTCGACGACATCCTTATCGCATCTCGGAGCCTGAAGCTAGTAGAGGAAGTGAAACGTCGTTTCGTCGACGAGTTCGAAATGTCGGATGTTGGCGCAGTGAAGAGTTTCCTCGGGATGAAGGTGGAGCGAGACGTCGAGAATCGGATCCTAAGAATCAGCCAGCGTGGGTTCCTGGAAAGTCTTCTTTGCCGGTTCAACATGCAGGATTGCAAGGCTATCTCGACACCGATGGAGTGTCGCCTTCGCCTGGAACGAGGAAAAGAAGCGGAACGGACGGACAAGCCCTACCGCGAGTTGGTCGGATGCTTGATGTACGTGGCATTTACATCGCGACCCGATCTGTGCACGGCTGTCAACTACTTCAGCCAGTTCCAGAGTTGTCCAACCGAACAGCATTGGGTACACCTGAAGAGACTTTTGCGGTACATTCGTGGAACTCTTGATCTCGGACTGGTATATAGAGGAGACGACGCAGAAGCAGACTGGGCGAACGACGTGATGGACAGGAAGTCATTATCCGGGTATGTTTTCCGTATTCATGGCAGTACCGTTTGTTGGCTGACGCGGAAACAGTCGACGATCTCTCTGTCTTCTACCGAGGCGGAGTTAGTTTCCTTGACTACAGCGGTATGTCAGGGGACATGGCTGGTGCGGTTGCTGGAAGATCTGGGAATCAAGATGAGCGACCCCGTTACGTACTTTGAGGACAATCAATCGACGATCCGTGTTGCCGAGGATGAGCGTGGAGTGGGCCGATTGAAGCACGTTGATGTGAAGCACATGTTCGTCCGGAACGAGATCCACCAAGGGCGTATCATGCTGCAGTACGTGCCGACGACGGACCAGTTGGCGGATGTGATGACCAAGGGTCTGCCAGCTGGGATTTTCCAGAAACATCGAACAGAATATAGATTCACCCCATCCGTCCGGTCTTCTGATTAGTTCGAGAAATATTCCTACTTTGTTCGTTAAATTTCTTAATTTCGCAATTTGTACTATACACACAAAAGTTCCTGGATAAATTCTCCATCGAATGACTTATTGCATGACATATTTCCCATGATTGGTTTTGAGAAATATGTGTTTGAAAACTGCCCCCATTTTCGTCAAATGCCTCATTTTCGATTTCCGCCAAAAAATGCCAATCATCACCCCAGCAACGTTCAAGCATCCAAACTTCAATTGGGTCTTTAAGGGTATTGAGGTAAATGCATATTCGTAACCCAAAATTTCATCAATTGGTACACTAGAACTATTTTAAATAAGTACGATCACATTTGCAAAAATCACCTTATTAGCGCCCCTTGGTGCCTTTTTGTATGGAAGTGAGCTGTCTGTTTGTTAGTTTAGTGTCAACCAGTGAAGTTATTATTTTGCTTTATATCTTGATTTAAAAATCAATAGGAAAGTATGTGGGTTCGAAAAAAGATATAGCTGTGCTCAGAAAACGAAGCACTTCCAGATGATGTATAAAAACCGATACATTTTTCAAAATTAAAGAACCCAATTGTGTTGCATCGACGTCATCGCCGTAAAACCTCTATATGATGTGATTAAATATTGGGCAGGTGAAAAGATCCGGAGGCCAGAAATGTACTGTCACGTCTTACATTTTCACCTTAAGAATGGCGGCGGATGTCGATTTTCCACTTCTACTCATCGAGATACCCATATTGCATGGGTTTAGATGCATATACGCTGTCTGGAGGCCGCCATATTGTATTTTGGTCCGTCTTGGATTCCAAAATGGCGGCGGATGTCAATTTTCTGCTTCTACTCATCGAGCCCATTCCATTGATACCCATTTTCCACTTCTACTCATCGAGTTTATACCATATATATTGTTATTGCATGGGTTTAGATGCATATACGCTGTACGGAGGTCGTCATATTGGATTTGGGTCCGCCATCTTGGATTCCCAAATGGCGGTCGATGTCGGTTTGTTACTTTGACTGTAATACCAAGGTATCAATTTCCCGTTTGGTGATTTTGTTACCTCAAAATCAGCTAAGGTTAAAATCAGCCGTTTTTCTGTTTGTGATTTTGCTGATCTAAAGCAGCAGCGATTTTAGGCCGTTCCTAATTTTGGATTTTTTTTGATTTTTCCCATCACTGATTTTTGTAAATAAGAAGAGAAAATATCTAAACTTTTCTGTAGTCTGCTGCAAATAACACGAAGACTTCTTCCTTTAGCGGAATGCCTGTGTGATCAGCGAACTACGCTTTGTGGCAAGGTCTGAAGTCAAATGTACCCTGAGGAACTCCAGCTCTAACAGGTGGTCATTCAGATTTGGAATTTTGATAATTTTAGCTAATTTCATAGTATAGAGTGTAGCATTAAACTTTTTCAACATAGCAATCAAACCTTCATGCCAAACACTGTCGACAGCTTTTTCTATATCAAGAAGAGCTACTCCAGTTGAACAGCCTTCAGATTTGTTTGAGCGAATTGAATTGGTAACTCTTAAGAGTTGATGAGTATTTGAATGCCCATGGCCAGGCATGGAAAATCATTTGCATTCATTTCGTGCATTCATTTACATTCATTTGCCTCTAACTTTTTTTTGGACAGCATTCCGCAAATTGATGTATAAAACTTTTGTAGGTTTTATTATTAGCTACAACTTTTGTTAACAAGTCAAATTCGTATCTCTTATTCACGATGAACCAGAGCGAACAGAAGCCACTACTGTTTTTCAGTGAATGTATTTTACATTCACTGAAAAACAGTAACAAGTTCTGTTCGCTCTAGTTCGTGATGCATAAGAGATACAGATTTTAATTATAAACAAAAGTTGTAGTTAATAACAAAACCTACAAAAGCTCTATACATTATTTTGCGGAATGCTGTTGATGAAAAAAGTTAGAGGCAAATGAATGTAAATGAATGTATGAAATGAATGCAAATGATTTTCCATGCCTGCCCATGGCGAAATCCAAACTGCTCATCTGCAAAAAATAATTCGTATTGATGTGAAGCATCATTCTATTTAAAATTATCCTTTCAAAAAGTTTACTTATTTAAGAAAGCAAACTTATTGGACGGCAGCTAGAAGCTTCAGCTGGATTTTTATCCGGCTTCAAAATTGGAACAAGTTTGACCTTTATCAGGAAAGTTTGACCACAGTAAACATTAATTTCATGGCTACTGTGATAGCGATTTTGTAAATATTTTCCTATCGTTAAAAAATAAGTGAAAGAGAGTGGACTGATAGATAGTCTTAGACGACCTCTAGTGATGATAATGTATATTGATCAACACTTTTCAGTCTACTATTTCAGTGGCAATCAAACCACTTCTGCTGGTCCATCTCAAAGTCAACTCGAACAACAAAAAAAAAACTCCCCTCTGTCGTCATTATTCCTATCAAAAATAAGAAAAAAAGAGAAAAGAAGAAACCTTACCTCATCCGCATTGAGCCCCTTCGGGATTTGCGTACCGTCCTTGTTGCAGAAGCAGTACGGCAGCTCGCACTCGGCGGGATCGCAGGTTTTCGCTAGATCCACTGCCGCCTCCGTGGTGGCCTGTGGCTCTGTGTGTACAACGGTAAAGCAATGCGAGACCAATTTAGTTTTCTAATGGGCACTTTCGAAATGGGACATACTTACGATTTGGAAGTGGACCGCACTTGGCTTCGTTTTTGAATGTGCAGAACTTTTGTGCATCGTCAAAGAACAGACCCGAGGGGCACCGGTTTATGTACGGGAAACCGTCTACGCACTGTTGGAGAAAGGAAAAGAAAGGGAACCATATGTTACTTCGTTAGGCCAAGGGTGTGAAGTACCGAGGGATGAAAATTAAATTTGCTGAAATAAATTTAAATTCTCAACACGCTACGGCTGCTGGATGCTGAGCCTGACAGGTCCGGAACGTCTGGTTTGGAGCTGAGTTGAGTGTGTGTATCTGCATGAAATTTGTTCCTAATCCCGAATAAGACATTTTCAGACAGCCGCTTGGATGAGCCGGGAAATTGCCTTCGTTTTTTATCTGCTCCTATTCCATTTTTCCGACCATGCTGTTGAATGGATCCCAGTCGCAGTAGGCCAACTGCAGCCGGAGCGCCATTCAAAAACGAAAGAGCGACGTTTTGTTCAAGTTGCACTCTTGCAGTTTTCTGTTCTGCTTCATGGCACACTACGTTTAACCGGGGTCTTGGAAGAAAGTTGAGCTTTTTTTTTCTCTCCATGCTTTGAAAGGACACAAAAGAAAGTTGGAAAAAAACGAGTACCTAACGGGTGAAGGTGGGTTGGGTTTGGAAAAAAAATGTGCCTAGGGGTTACGATTGAATGTCGCTTTTTTTTGTCTCTCCTATTTTTGCTCTACCGGGGTAGACTTGAATAAAGGAGAATGTTGGCCGCAGGCTTCGGTTGAACGTAAAATTTTATGATTATCTTTAATACTTTGAAAATAATATTCTTCATTCCCGTTTGATACCCATAATCCAGTGGGGGAGAAATGGACGCTGGAAAAAGCGGACCGGATTCAACGGGACATAAGAATTTAACGATGTGCTTGCTTCCAGCTCTCTGTCTCTGTCCCACTCTCTGTTGTATATCCTTGGAGCGACTACGTCAAATGGCATGCTGTGATCAACCATGGGAAAAGTTTCCAGTTGATAATAATTATGATTCGTCTGTTACGCGAAGCAGGGGAAGATAGTTTTTCTCCTGGGAATTGTTGTTTGGTTTACATTTTTACGTCGCCAAGAGGAGGTCTCAACATGGCGGTTATATCCTCATTACTGGGGACCGGAAGAATGGTGAGAAAATTATACTTATTACGTTTTCGGTGGAACGGTGGAGGAACAGCAAGCACCGGAGGAGACGAAAGCCAGGTCTTCTAGGCATCTTCTATCACTGATGGAAATTATTGTTTGTCTTCTGAGTTTTTGGGCAGCACGAGAGGATTGTACGTATTTGATTTTGCCAACGCAGATAGACGGATTTCAGAGAATCGCTTTTTTTTGGGGCCAACCGATATGAGCTTATGCAAATGATACCCTCTTGGCTGTTTGACAGATAAACAAGCTCAGCAGGCTGAGATTTGGTTTTTGGCAAAAGCAAGCTGAGGTTGGAATTTAGCAAGCACATGTTTCCCTCTTCTGGCCTCTACTGGCAAAGTAGGCCAATCACGTTTAGCGAAAAAAGCGCGTCGCTCCAATGGTCGCAGAAAAAATGACTTTCGATTTCCACACACTTGCTACAACCCACCAACCAAGCCATCAATCGAACCGGAACGGCTCAAGGCCAGAGTTTTTAATTAAGCCCGTCTAAAAATAGCTCAGGATAGTCGTAAAAAAATAAACAAAACTCAAGCTTACCTGATAAAACCTCCGGCAGGTGACGGGGTCGGCATAGTTTCCATTTCCGTAACCCTCGGGGCATTTGAATTCCTCCTTTTCTTTTGTGTCCTTTTGTGCTGTAGTTTCGGGAAGGGGAGGAAAGGAAACAAGTTGAATTAATTACGATCGTTGCTTCTTCCTTCTATTTCGCTTGTTTCTACAGGGTAGCTTTAATGAAAGCTCATGCAACGAGAAAAACGAATAGGAAAAAGCGCACCCCTAAGGCAGTATGACACGAGCGAGCGAATGAGTGCACATTTTTCTGCATCCTAAGTAAGCTTCGATTGCAAGCACCTTTTGCAACGCCGACTGCGGTAGATGAAGCTGTCTGGCAACACTGATTGGGGTTGTTTTTGCACCGCAGACGACACACCGTGCCCGTCAACTCCCTCCGCCATTGCCCTTCACTTTTCCAATTTGAAAAGTCCGTAAGAATCTTGAAGCAACGGCATTCCTCCATCGGTTCGTTAGGTAGATCGTAATCGATGCTCGACAAACGGAAAAAGTGATTGCTTCAAGCTCGCTTGAGCCACGGCAATTATTCTATAGGTGCACAACTCAATCGCTGAAACACCTATTCAGTCGGTTTCAGTCGAGCGATTTTTGCCACCTTTCGAATGTGAGGAACCAGTTCCAGCACTGAAGGGCCCGAAAAACGATGTCAAGATTAAAGATGAGAGGCGGAAAAATGGTCCGCATCGAGACAAAATATGAGACAGGAATAACTTATGGAAAGTGGCCCATAAAAATTTACATAACCTGATGGGGCACAGCCACATCAGCGCGCCGCTTTACTTCGACGATGCCCCAGTTGCCTGATTTGGGAGCCCGCTTCACTGTCACTTTCAGTGAGTCGCGCAGGTGAGGTTATGAAATCAGTTTCTTTCGGAAAGAATGTCATTTTCAGCTGTTTTCGACCGGGCTTAATAAGTTATTCAATAACCGGTTGATCACCAAACAGGATCCACTTGATTGCGCCATCTTCAGGGTCAATTCGGAACGTAAATGTTTGGTTCCAACATTTCCCTAATTAGAAATCATTACCCGGCCGGGTGCCTGTTGGGTATTTGCTGTTCATGGGAGCAGTTTGTGTACTCTCTTTTCGCAAACAATCTTCCATTCGGGATTTTCCGACGGTTGATGTTCCTGGGTCAGCGCATTACCTCCCTAGCCTGCTATGCTATGCTAGCTCGTTTCACTGGTGTGTTGTTATTTATTTTCCCGTAATGTGCTTTTTCTCGCAGCCTGCTTTTGCTGTGGGACGCATTCTGCCCAGGCAAACCAAGTGCTTTACTGTAATTTCTGTTTCCTGAACAGCATCCATCACAGTGAGCTCAGTTTATCTTTGCCCGCTCCGCTCCGTCGTCCCGTATGTGCGTGTGTTGAAGATACAAAGGTACCTACAAACATTGCAAATGTCGAGCTGTTGGGTGAGTGTGTGTGTGTGTATATATGCTCCATGACATAACATTGTGTTCCCCCAAGAGTGCGCCACCTAGCTCGCCCAAAGGTCCAACATTTTTCAATCTTGGTGGCAAGGGTTGTTTTCTTTTTCTTTCTCTACAGCACGCGAAGATCATTTCTTATTTTCTCGCATCACTGGGCTTGCCTTCTGGTATCCTTTTGAATTATTAATAGATTTCATCAAAGGCCATATTTCCCCTGTTTACAGAGATACTTTGGCGGTGGGATTTCCTCGTCATTTAACGAAGGAAATGGCTCGGCCGGAGGCGATTTAGTGTCGAAACTGGAAATTGAATTTTCAACAGCGTTTTGAAAGGCTGGGAGCTGGGTGAGGAAACACGACCAGTTGACACCTGATCTTTATTTTGTCCCACAATTCTCAAAAAAAAAAAAAACGAGGTGAACTTTCGTTTTCTGTTTCCTTTTGGCAACAACAACCCTCATTTCATCAATCTTGCATGCTTACTAGGGTGGGTCATAATGATATTTTTTCCAGAACAATGTTTTTTTTAGTTCCATTTGGGGTCCTAAACAACTGTTGGAAAATTTGAGGACGATTGGTTGTAGTTCGGCTTTCCGCATTGCGTTTGAAATTTGAATGGAAATTAGTATGGAAAAAACCTACTTTTTTTGGGGATTTATTCCTAGGGACCACAATTTCATTCGAACCAAGCAACTAATCGGGTAGAAGTATAGTCCAAGAAGTGCATAGCAACTTTATCCAAGGATGTACGGTGCTTGAATGTCTCTAAAAAAAAGTTGTAGCTGTTCAACGATCAATGTTTCGAATTAATCATTTTATCAAGCTTCTGCATTCATGTTCCATCAGATGTCACTGCTGTTGTTTGCGGTGACATCTATCGGAAGCTACACATAATTTGTTTTGCGTTAATTGTTCACAGAGGACAGTGCAGTGCAAAACATGTCTGGTACCTCTATATATGCATTTAGATTATTATTCGAAGTCCCTTCTTTTTTACACATTCTGCACACAAAATAGCCCACCCCTCACAGAATTTCCCGCCGAATTTTATGTATGGGGCGGGGCATAAAGTATCTTTTGCGCAGAATATGTAAAAAAGGAGGAACTTCAAATGTTAAACCAAATGCATATATAGAGGTACCAGACATGTTTTGTAGTGTCAGGTACTCTATTTTATAATCTGTGAAAGGGAAATCACAAATCGAGTTTCAACAAAATACATGGCATGTTGAGAGATTGAGCTCGTGAGAGAGAATTTCTCTCTCAAATTTGAATTTTTTTGGCACTCTGGGAACTGGTAGTAAAGCAGGTAAAATTGTATGGGAAAAAATCATTTTTATTTAATTGTAGCTTGTTTAGCATTAATTTCCGGGAAAAAACTGAACGACAAAGTCCCTGATTCATTTCTTTAGGTTGTCGTTTACTTTTTTTGACCTGAATATGCACCGAAAGCGAATTATTCCCACTTCTCTCAATTTTTATATGGGGATTTTTATCACTTCCTACCAGTGGAACAGCGCCATCTCTGTGGAAAATTATCGAACAAAATCATTAATTAAATGTCAAAAATCGCTTTTCCTGCCAACACTGCCGATGTACCAATGAGAGTCAGATTCCAAACTGAAATAATTTCGGAGTTTCTTATCCCATCGATTTGGTATGTTCAAAATGGTGAGTTAACACCCTGGAAGGAGCGGAATACCTAGCTCTGGTCCTCACAAGTTCCTACCTCACGCCTCCCCGAGTCATATTTTTTTTTTTAGTTCTTTATTAAGGAGATTTTTAGCCTATGGCTAGTTCATCTCCGAAGAAAGGAGAGGGCTCAGAGTTAGTAACCTCTAGATACATGGTATATTAACATTTAGTTAATAACTTTGATTACTGGCTCTTCAACTTATATGAAAAAATAACAATATACAAAATAATGAAACAGAGGAACAGCAGAAAACAAAATGATTTAAGACAAGCTACAAACGATTAATCCAAACAAAACAGAGGTCAGCTGGCATGGGTCCAATAGGGGAAATCCATCCAGCTGAGATGTCCCGACGGCCGAAAGTAATTCCTGCTATACCAAGTGGTAGATTTGGACTTCTTTTAAGAAGGTTACTAGTGCTGCCGAGGCCGAAGTATCATTCCCGAGCAGATCGCTGATGCTGGAAGTTAGGCAGAGTGACTCCCGAAGATTTTGGAACTCCGGGCAGTTGCACAGGATGTGTTCGACGGTGTAGGGTACCCCACAGATGATGCAGCTTCTGCGGAACGGCAGGCCACCATAGTTATAGTAGGTTGTCCAGTTCTCTCCATGGTTCAGTTGACGCTTTTAATTTGCGGATGAAGGCAATTCTGTTGCGGAACCACTCAGCTTCCCATGCCGCTCGAATGGTCCGCATGATCCACCGTCTGACGTCCTATAGGGGTACCTTGTTAGTGAGTCTGGGACCCGATGTCCCGGCTCCGGCAAGGTGATCAGCAGACTCGTTACCTGGCACTCCACAGTGTCCGGGAATCCATGTGTACACGGTGTTCGGTGGGGCGTACTTGATAATCGCCTGGATCCATGGGTGTTTTGGTACTTACGAGGTGATCGCTTGAACGACGCTGTGTGAGTCGGTTAATATAAGTATCGGTTTGTTGGCTGGCGTCGTAGTCGGCCGAGAAAACCGAGCATTGTGGAGGAAGACTGCTGCTTTCAGCAATACCGTCTCCAAAAATCCCGATACCTACTCCGTTTATCGATCGGGAGCCGTCGGTGTACCGATGTACGTGGTCGGCATAGTTAGACCCAAGTAACTCGGCGACCGATCTGTGCATCCCCTGCTTTGAAGCGGTTCTTGATCCGATTGTCCAATTGGATTCGTGAAGAGTGCCAACTTTTCTCTCCATGTCAATGGACTTTGGCCACTGGGGGAGGTCGATGTCAGCGGCCGTGCAGAGGACTCTGTTCCCCTCGTCGAGGAGAAAGATCCTATTGTTTCCGGAGGTCTTGGCGGAAAAGGCGGTGGCTTTTGTGGCAATATTTGCGTTTAAGCAGAACCGGAAAGGAAGAAGACCCGCTTCGATGCATGCGGCGTCTGCTGGAGTGGATGGCAGGAGACCAGATATGATGCGGATGTAGCTGTTGTAGACTGGTGCTAGGGTTCTAACCAGCTTCTCGGAAGCTATGCAAGTAATTTCCGTCCCGTAAAGCAACCTACTGTCGATGATGGCTCGCGCCACCCGGAACCGAACATCGCGGTTGTTGGATCGGTGAGGCCGAGAGATCGTTTTAACGAGGTTGAGTCCACTGCGGCAGTCCTTCTTGACCTGTTGGAAATGCTGGTCGAAGGAGAGCGTTCGGTCGATCAGTACGCCGAGGACGCGAACTGTTTTCCTGTTTGGAATGGCTTGCTCGTGGATCGTAATTGGGGTGCTATTGACTCGGTGCTGAGACGGACATACGTGGCATAGGATGCTCTTCCTGGCGGATAGCTAGAAACCCATCGAGTAGGTCCATTTGACGACGGCAGAGACTGCCGCTTGCGCTTGTCGTAGGGTTCGGATCTGTGTAGGACCGGAGGCCACAATCAGCACATCGTCAGCGTAAACAAATATATAAATGCGCCCAGGTAGCCGGTCAAATACCCCGTT